AGGTCATCCAAGTTCATCCACTTCCCCTCTTGTGACACCCCCAGCATGCTCACCTTCTCTCAGCTTCCTGATGTCCTGGGAGCCTCACCAAGGGCTTCCATGTCCTGCAGATCACAGGGAGACAGAGATTGAAGCGAAGACACACGTAGGTACCAGAGTACTGGACACTGCAGAGAGGACGACCCAACTCTCCGCGCAGGAGCAGGAGACAAAGGGCCGACCAGAACCCAAAAGCCACCCTGTGATTTCCAGCTCCCACCTGATTGACCAGTTCAGACCTCAGCACACAGTGATTGGAAAAACCTTCAGGCCCTGCCCTTCTGGTCTTGACTAACAGGGGGTGTAAAATGAGGACTCCTTGGGCAAAAATGCCTTTAGATTTCTCCTTACCCCGGAGCCTGGGCAGAAGGGTGGGAAGAGGAGGCTTATGGGCTCCTTTGTAGCATGATGGGAGCTTTTGTCGCTCCTAGTTGGTGGGTTGCTGGACTGTAGGTCAACACTGCCTCTCCCGGGACACACTGGGATTATAGTCCTGCAGCTCCGCAACCCACCAACTGGGAGCCATGCAGACACCAGAGTTCCCAGGAAGACCTGTAAGGGGCTCCCTCACATGTCCCTACCACATTCTGGAGCTGGGAGAAATCTCAGCATTTTCTTGCCTCATTCAGCCCACGTCTGATCGCATGTCCTGTCACTCAAAACCAGATGGCCTGGAGTTTTATTCAATCAACTGATGCTGAGGTTTGACATGGCCAATCAGACAGGGGCTGGAAGTGAGGGGGCAGCTTCTGGGCTCTTACAGGGCCTTAGTTTCCTCTGTCAGCCTTGCATATCTTCATTTTAGCCTGTGTTGGCCTGTGACATGCAGGTCCTGGGAGATTCGTAGGATGGACGCTGAGAGCCTCGGAAGGCAGGAGGTGGTGAGTGCGGGGAGGTTCCCTGAGAAGGAGAGTGGGGATGGACCCAGATGACCCACCTCTTTAGGGACTGGCCTCTCTGTCAGCTCTGAGCCTGGACCCATCCCACTGGTGACTCGGACCGGTCCCCTCGGTGTAGGTGGTCCTGTGCCAGGACCCTGTGTTCTTGACCCTGCAGTGACATCACTTGCTAAGCAATCTCCATACAGCTCACCATCTCTCAGTGTGCCGAAACCGTGAGGGTTATGAAGAGGATCTAACCCGCGTGTGGTGCTGGTGGGGGGAAGGGGAGGCTATGATCCATGCCCACTCCTTCTCTCCTCCCCAGAGTTAAACGGTGGCTCCCTCATAACGTTAAGGAGGCCTCTTGTTCAACAGCAGTTCTTGAGAAACACCAGAAACACCAGCCAGGACTGGTGGTGTGGGGATCCGGAGGGCCTGGGAGGAAAGGATTTGAGAAAGGGGCAAGGGGAAGTGGGGATGGGCAAGTGCTGTTGATTGACAGTCCTGCAGGTGTCTTATCTGATTTATCTAGGTGGAAATCTCCAGGGTCTGTCATTAGAGTCATTGGGCATTTGTGTCACCAGGTCCAAATCTGGTTCTGTCGACATGAGTTGGAGCAGGGGTTGTGACTTTATTTAGTAGGGACACTAAAACCAAGGAAATGAGGGGATGGTATCCTAAAGACCCCTCCTGGGTTGTGTGTGCCTTTTCAAAATTTTTATCCAGGCTGTGAGATAGAGACCGACTAAGATCAAGAGGTAGATTAGACTTGCAGACATCTGGATGATGAGAGGAGTCCTGGAAAGTAGTGAATTCTCTTTGTCCTTGGTTCACAGTCTCCTTGTTCCTTTATTAAACAAAACAAAGTTAGTGCACATGCTCCCACTTTCCCAGAGTTAGTCTGGACAGTTGCATAGTGGTGCCAACCTTGCCAGCATTTCAAAATTATTTTAGCTACATGGAAACACCCAGAGGCCAGAGATTCCCCCCTCCCCACCCCGGTCTAAAATGGAGTTATGTTGAACTTTTGAGAGTTGACTGTTCCATTTTGGATTGATTAGGTCTAAGTTTTATATGATTAAATTAGTAACTTAAAAAATTTATTTTAATTCAGCGACTGGTTTCTGTGCACTTGTAGACACATCACTGTTTTTGAGGGGAAAAGGCAGAATTGATGTCTGTCTTCTGGATTATCTTGCATTTGTAAAGAAGGAAAACTGTCCTAAATGACAAAGTAGACCCACCTCAGGGAGATGGTGGAAGAATCAAATCAAAGAGAAGCTCAGGCAAACAGGAGAGCAAGTGAGGGGCTCCCAAGAGGGTGGTAAGACTGACAAAAAATAAATACGTTCCATTTAATTTGAAATAAGTAAAGGTGTATCTTCAAAATGTAGGTATAACTTGATTAGATAATCTCACCTGAGAAGAAATCCCCAAGAAGTAGGAGGAAATAGAAAAAATGGCTTCTCAGGTAAATAAATGTGTCCCAGGAAAGAAGGCATGTCATGTGTGTAAAACTTGCAAACCTCCGGGTTCGGTGGCTCAACCTGTAATCCCAGCACTTTGGGAGGCTGAGGTGAGTGGATTGCCTGAACCTGTGGGTTCGAGGCCTGCCTGGGCAACTTGGTGAAACCTCATCTCTACAATAAATCAACAATTAGCCGGGCGTGGTAGCGTGCGCCTGTAATTCCGGCTACTTGGAAGGCTGAGGCAGAAGGATCACCAGAGCCCAGCAGGTCGAGGCTGCCGTGGCTGGGAGTGGCCACTGCACTGCAGTCTGGGCAGCAGAGTGAGACTCCAACTCAAAAAAAAAAAAAAAACCTTGCAAACCATGCTGCTGTCCTTCTGATGGTCCTGCCTAATGAGTTTGTTTCAACTATTTTTGTTCTTCCTATGATATTCAATGGGTCTGTCAGTCACTGCTCCTACTAGCCTCTTCTGTTCTCTTCAACCATACTGCTTAGTTGTCATAAACTGTTCTCACCATGAATGTATGACCTGCATTATTAAAAATGTTCCCTTGTTACTAGGGATCATGGGAAGACTTGGTAACCAAGAATCCCGTTGGAAATTGGATAGATCCTCAGATCCTAATGAAGGATAGAAACGTGTATGTAGTCTTCCTCTGTTCAGAATGAAATGCACTGGCACACTCATGGCTACCAGAGCCCAATTAATTTTTTAATTTATTGTAGAGATGTCTTGCCAAGTTGCCCAGGCTGGTCTCACACCCAAGGGTTCAGAAAATTCTTTTGCCATGGCCTCCCAATGTGCTGGGATTATAGAAATGAGCCTCTGCTCCTTTCCAGAACATGTACTGTTAAGGTTCTGTCTAGATGCTCCATCAGCTCCGTGCAGAATATGGTTAATAAAATGTACATTTTAACAGGATGGCAGTTACTGCCCCAAATAACTCCAGAAAGTCTGAATAAAGAATAAATAGAAGAGACTTGCTCTCTAGGATGCCCAAAACTAAAAATATAAATACGCTTTCAGAGATTACATGCCATGGAAGATACCTGTAGGCTGATTTCTGTGTAACACGAGCTTGCTTGTTATTAAATCGAGATTATAAATTAGTATATTGGATGGGTGTGGTGACTCAGCCTGTAATCCCAGCACTTTGGGAGGCTAAGGCAACAGATTTGCCTGAGCCTGTGTTTTGAGAACAGTTTGGGCATTTGGTGAGAACTTGTCTCTACAGTAAATTACAAAAACTAGTCAGGCATGATTGCATGTTGTGTAGTTCCAGATACTTTGAAGGCTGAGGCAGAAGGATTGCCTAAGTCCAGCAGGTCGAGGCTGCAGTGGCCATGAGCATGCCACTGCACTCCAGCCTGGGTGAGAATCCAACTCAAAAAGTAATAATAAATTAGTATAAATTTTGGCCAAAAGATTTCAGCATGGATGTTGTGTTCCACTTATGTGCCTTGACATCTGATACCAATTTGTCCCAAATACTTGGGACACTATGGAGGATAGATTCTTTTAGCCAAGGAGACTGAGACTGCAATAAGGTGTGATTATGCCAGGGCACCCTAGCCTGGTTCAGAATGAGACACACCGAGCTGCGTGTAGTAGCGCATGCCCGTAGTTCCAGCTACTTGGAAGGCTGAGGCAGAAGGATTGCCGGAGCCCAGCAGGCCAAGGCTGCAGTGGCTGGGAGCAGCCACTGCACTCCAGTCTGGGTGACAGAGTGAGACTCCAACTAAAAGAAAAAAAAAAAAAA